GAAGGAAGGAAGGAAGGAAGGAAGGAAGGAAGGAAGGAAGGAAGGAAGGAAGGAAGGAAGGAAGGAAGGAAGGAAGGAAGGATTCTCCCCTTTAAAAAGGGAATCATCATGAAGAACAGAGCCTGGATCCTGTTGGGGTCCAGTGGTTCTGGTTCGGTCCGTTTGTCCTCACTGTAACTGAACGTCCCCTAGAAGAACCAGAGAGTTCTGCAGCAGGACGGATCCAGCCTGAGAACATGGAGGTCGAGGGCTGACAGTAGAGGTCAGAGGTCGTTTGGACCCACCCAGGCTGGAGGCGTAGGCGGCGGAGTTGATCCTGATGCCGGTGCAGCTGATGATCAGGTCCGTTCTCAGAGTCTCTCCTTTGTCGGTTTTCACCTCCAAGTCCTTCTGGGTCACGTTGAGCGGCAGCTCCGACAGGTTGGACACCTTCTGACCTGAAACACAGCAGCAGGTTCTTCAGAACCAGAACCGACCCGCTCTGACGGCCGCCACTGATGGGCCTCCGTACCCAGAACCAGCTCCACGCCCTTCTCCAGCAGAACCTCCTTGACCTGCTGCCGGACGCTGTGGACCAGCTGTGGGTCGGCCAGACCGATCCTGGAGTGGATCAGAACCACCTGCAAGAAGGAGAGAGGAGATCAATGATTGGAAGAAATCCAGAACCGACCAGAACTTGGACCGGCCCGGTCTGGATTGAGCTCAGTTTAGGTCCATGTTTAGGTGGAACAGAAGAAAAGTCCGATCCAGAACCAAACTGACTTTAATCTGGGTTCTATAATTAAACCCATTTCAGCCCGTCTGTACCAGAACCACAGAACCCAGTGAAACGGTTGGTGGGAGAAGCAGAGTCCCAGTGGAACCTGGACCCAGACTGGTCATGCTGGTCTCACTGGTCCAGGACCAGAGAGGCTGAAGAAAACAGAACCAAGAACAGAACCCTGCCTACAACCCAGATGGACAGAACCAGTCCTGACCCAGCAGCAGGCGGCTGATAACAGACCAGGAAGTAGTTCTGGCGGCTCTGTGCGTGCGTTCGATTTCAGAGGCAGAGTCCTCCAAGGACCCGGTCTACCTGGACCGGAACCTTCCAGGTCCGTGAAAGTAAGGAGACTGGAAGAGTATTGCCTGTGAATTTGAATGTGATGATGTCATCAGTACGCTGCTGTTCCAGTTGACCCAGATTTATTCTGCTCCCGTTCTCCCCGAGTCCAGACTTTCCTGGGTTCTAGTCAAGAACGGACTTGGCGAGGACCTGAGTCTGTACTGGCGTCCTTTTGAAATGAGAAACAGCCAAGGTTTCTTTGCGCTTGGCTGCGATTGCCATGGCAACCATTGAATAAGATCGATCCGCAGAATAACCTCTCTAAATACTCCATGCGGTGCTTTGACTAGACCGTTTCATGCTGAAGGAAGAACCTGAGGAGGAGCCTTAGGCCCCGTCCACACGAAGTCGAACCCTGGCCTAAACGCACAAATTTT